AAAATTTATTTTCTTTAAAATCCTAAAAGAAAAAATACTGCTTATACTTATCTTCATTAGAAGTGATTTTCATGAATACTAAATGCAAGTCTCTCATTCAAAATGTTGAATGGCTCAAAACCAAATGATCGTTAAGAAAATTCTGGAAAATATGAGATGCAACCTTCTGTGTGCATTCTCGAGTCAATTATCTTTCTACCAGTAATCATGGTAATAAAGAAGATACACATTTAAATCATGTTCTCAGGTGATAAAGTAGGCAAATTAATTATAAAAAAACAGTTTATTTACTAGTAAAAATCTTTTTTTTTTGTAAGACTTTAAAAGTCAGATATTTGTAATTTGTCTACATGTCAATATAAATAATGATAGATATATGCCCTTACAATGTTTGTGTTTAAGCTCAGAGCTACATAACTGGATATTTGTACATTGCTAACTGTGAGTATTGAATGCTGATTTTTAGTGTTATGAGCCCTCAAGCTTACTGCTGAGCCACTAAAGGGCACATTTTCTTAAACAGAGAAATCAATAAAATAACTGACCCAACTGTTGAATCATGTCCATGGTCTTGATTCAGAATGAAATTTATTTTATTCCCAAGAAAGCTTGGTGTATAAAACAAGTATTAATTGGAAGAGCTTGTAACATGAACTTCTAAATTAAAAATATCAATTTTTTTAGCCATGCCATGCCAATTAAAGCATGTGACAAGTTTGAAATCCTATCCTAACAATTATTCTTGAATATATAAGATATACATGCATGAGTACCCTTGAATGCCATACTCATATTTGGCTCAAATACTCTGCAGCAGCAGCACCCACAAAAAAAACATCATTATGAAATCGAATATATTTTAATAAGGTATCTAACATGGTACTCATTAGTAAAACTATTTGAAGGACACATTTTGTCATAGTAACTGTGCCCCACAGCTATACACAGTACCTCACCATGACTTTATATAATTACATGCATTTGTAAGACAAAGTTGCATGTAATTTTTGAAGTATATATATGTAGGATGGGAAAACGAGTGCCTGAATAGTAACCTTAACAAGCTAAATGTCTGTCTCTCACTATATTCATTTATTAACTGTAAGAAATAATATTATTCTTGTTATAGCTGCTTTGATGACAGAGAAAACAATAAACCTGTTTGCAAGTTCTGCTTTATTTTCCACATTAGTTGTCAATTCGCATCTGTCAGTGTAAATATAAAGTTTAAAAACAAAACTAACATGACAGTAAAACTGATCAGAAAGAAGCCATCTAACATTTTTAAAGGTAAATTTTTAAATATTCAAGGTAAATATATTCCTTACAGAAAGAAAAGGGCAGCTGCAAGTAAAAAACCAGGTTGGCTCACAATGAGCATAAGAGATAAAATTAAAGAAAAGCATTGTAAGTTTAAGAAATTTAAATTGACTGGTATGACAGGAGATTTAGAAGATTAAAGTTGGTGAAATAGGAAATAAGGACATCAAAAATGATGTATGAGAAAAGGTTGGCTTAAAATGTAAAAATTAACATTAAGGATTTCTTTAAATACATTAAGGGTTAAAAAAAATGTTAGGATGGGGGTATGACCCTTCAGGGATGATAAAGGAAGGCTAGTATCTAATGATTATGATATGGCTGGGTTATTAAATTTTGCTTTTTCTTCAGTTTTTACTAACAAAGATTTAAGCAATATTCCACATCTTGAACAGTTGATAAATGGAAATGAGATCAAACAAAGTGACTGCATTAATTGTGATCTGGTTAAGAAAAAATTGGGAAGTTTAAAAAATAATAAGGCTCCTGGGCCAGATGATATTTCCCCAAGGGTTTTGAAGGAGGTTAAAGATTGGATATGTGAGCCATTTACTACTACTTTTTGTCAGTCTTTGAATAGTGGACAGGTACCAGAGGATTGGAAGTTAGCTAATATAACTCCTCTTTTCCAGGGAGGTGATACAAATTGTCCCAGTAATTATAGACCCATTAGTCTTACATCAGTTGTGGGAAAAGTTTTGGAAAATCTATTAAAAGATGCTTTGCAAATTCATTTAACGAAGTTTAGAATTTTATTGGATAGTCAACATGGTTTCACTAAGAGAAAATCTTGCATTACAAATCTTTTGAAATTCTTTGAAAAGACTTACTGCTTATGTAGATGAGGGTAAGGGTATAGATTTGGTGTATCTCGATTTTAAAAAAAGCATATGACAAGGTGCCACATAAAAGGCTTGTAAAAAGTATCTCTACAGGTGTGGGGGATAAGTTAGCAAATTGGATAGAAGAGTGGCTGGATGGAAGAAAGCAGAGGGTTGTTACAAATGGAGTTCAGTCAAACTGGATTAATGTTACAAGTGGGGTACCTCAGGGCTCAGTCTCAGGCCCTTTGCTCTTTTTGATTTACATCAATGACATAAATGAAGGAATAGTCAATAATTTACTTAAATTTGCAGATTATATTATGGTCTTGGGTGTTGTTAGCTATGAAGAGGATGCTGCTGAGTTACAAAAGTCTCTAAAGCCATTCAAGCAATGTGCTGTTGCTAGTGGTAGGGCAAATAGGATTTTAGGTGTATGTACAGAAATATTTAATACAAGTCTAATGAGGTTATATTTTCATTGTATACCTCATTGGTTAGGCCACATTTGGAATATTGTGTTCAGTCTTGAGCTCCTTACTTTAGGAAAGACATTTAATTGTTGGAAAGGG